AAAATTAACATAATACATTTTTGGAGTATACCAGAGCCCCTCCTCCTGGGGACCTGGCTTCCCCTTCATTTAAGAACTTCTAGATCTGTAAACTGGCTCAGATCTAGAAACTGGCTGAGGGGCCCTGACTCTCTTTTTTACGGTTCAGGATAGACTTTTGTTCACCTGACCTAAAACTTTTCTGCTTATACAGATCATGTAAGAGTTTAATAAGCTTCCTTTCTATTTCACTTCTAGGGACACCACAATCAACTAGCCAATGCCATATGACTGCCCAAGTCAAGACTATTCTGATTGCTGCTTGGACTCTGCTGTCTGTTTTGGTAACCACGCCTGCCTTGCCTTTGGTAGTAGAGTACCATCCGTTGGTACATCCTGCTATGGCAAGATCCAATTACTCCCACTGTATTTAGGTTTCCCAATTCAGTGACTGCAGTTTCCACTGTAAGATATGACCTACAGAGAAGAGTGATCACAGAGCTCTTTAAGGATGTTGGGGCTCTCCTCACAAATTTATTTCTCACAGTCACGGTGAAAGGTATGTCTTCTGGACCCTTGCAGAGTAGGTGAGTAGGTCTTAAATGACAAATCCATAACATTCCAATCTCCCTAATCCTCTGAATCTTTTCCTTTAAACCAAGGCAGATACAGCATTTGCAAGTCACTCACTATGGGCTACATTTTGGTTCATGTTTCAACTAATGAACCAAACATCCTCAGCTGCAACATGAAATTCAAAACCTCTGCTTAGTGAGTACATATCAATAAATTTGGCCTTATCCAACTTCATGTTCCTTCCATCATTATCCCACATCCTTAATATTCAGTTCCATACATGTTCCCCAGATTTCTATCTGCATTTATTAGAAAACTCAAGTAGTTCTTTCGAAGTGTAGTGTACCTCCTCATGGACCACAATTCATACCTCACCTTTACGGGCCTGCTGGGATCTGAGTCTATTTATAGCTTAGAAGCATAGAAGGATGGTAAGGGTGGATCCTGAGGAGAATTAGCATTGTTTTACATGGCTACTGCCTTAGGGGAAGTCATTACAGTTTCTTCAGACAAAGCAGACTTAATCCCCTCATATGGGCTGGGGATGCTACTCACACTGAGGGTAGAGAAGCCTCTTCCACTGGCAAAGAAGACTCATTAGAACTTAGAGGTTCAATGTCCCCAGCTTTATTAGAGTCTTCCCACATGTCTCCATTCCAACCTTCAGGATCCCATTCCTTCCCAATCAATGTTTTGACTTTAAAAATAGAGTCGCTACTATGTGGCTGGGAGTTCAACTTGCATTGTAATTCAGCCAAAGAATGAGACCCTGGGTTTGATTTTCAGTAACCTCAGGCTATAGGAGATAAGAGTCTCCTTCAGGACATACATAGAAGCTTTCAGGTCATTTAGGCAGGATTTACTCAGGAATTTGAATTCCTGAACTCATCTTTTCTTTCCCCACTTTGTTCAGCAAATTAGAAGCAACCAGCCAATCTCATTATATTTGTTAGTTTGCCAAAAACGTTTGAAAGTATCATATACACAGTTACCCAGCTACTTGCTTCTTATAAGTGGTTGATTAAGAATATCCAATGGTGGGACTTTCGTGGCGGCACAGTAGTTAAGAATCCACCTGCCAATGCAGGCGACACGGGTTCGAGCCCTGGTCCAGGAAGATCCCACATGCCACGAAGCAACTAAGCCTGTGCACCACAACTACTAAGCTTGTGCTCTAGAGCCCGTGAGCCACAACTACCGAGCCTGCGTGCCACAACTACTGAAGCCTGCGCGCCTAAAGCCCGTGCTCTGCAACAAGAGACGCCACCGCAATAAGAAGCCCGCACACCACAGTGAAGAGTAGCCCCCACTTGCTGCAACTAGAGAAAGCCTGTGTGCAGCAACAAAGACCCAATGCAGCCAAAAATAAATTAATTAGTAAATTAATTATTTAAAAATTAAAAAAAAAGAATATCCAATGGTGATATCTTGCATATTTCTATTGCTAGATCACACTATGGACTACCAGTGCTTTCTTTACTACTGGAAATAGAGTCATCAGTATCTTTAAATCTAATTAGCTTTGAAAATCAATTCTAGAAACTCCAGAACTAACTCAAAACATTCATCCTTAAAATTCTGTTCCCCTAGAACCACTCTTGATATTAAAATCTGTATTAGTCAGGGTTCTCCAGAGAAACCAAATTAACAGGATATATTTGTGTGCGTGTGTACGAGGGTGTGTGTCTGTGTCTCTGTCTGTCTGTAGAGAGAAAGAGAAAGATTTATTATAAGGAATTGGCTCACATGATTATGGAGACTGACAAGTCCCCAAATCTGCAATCATCAAGCTGCAGACTCAGGAAAGCTAATGATGTAGTTCCACCTCAAATCCAAAGGCCTGAGAACCAGGAGGGTCAACGGTGTAGTTCTAGTCTAAATGTTAGCATGCTCAAGACCCAGAAAAAGCTGATGTTTCAGTTCCAGACTAAAGGCAGGAAAGAACCGATGTTCAAGACTGAAGGTAGTCAGGCAGGAGTTTACTCCTACTCCAAGGGGTCAATCTTCTCATTCTATTCAGGCCTTGAACTGGGCCCCACTCAAAAGTGACTGGCTAAGGCTCACCCACATTAGAAAGGACAATCTGCTTTACTCATTCTACCAATTCAAATTCTAATCTCATTCAGAAACACCCTCACAGACACACCCAGAAAATGTTTGACCAAATGTCTGGGTACTCCATAGACCAGTCAAGCTGACATATAAAATTTAGCAATAACTGTTACTAATTAGCTTTTAATCCCAATAAGTAATATATGCATCTTATTTATATGAGAAATTCTTATCAACTGAAATAGATTCAGAATTACAAAGACTAATATTATCTATTAACATTAGTTCTGATTCATCAAATATCCTTCTTTAAGTATAAAATAAGATTTTTCTCAAAAAAAAAACATGAAAAATATTTTAAAAAAAGAAAAAAAAAAGAAAAAAGTTTTTCTCATTCTATATATAATAAATCACTGTGGACTCTTATTTAAGGTATAGAACCTCATCTTAGGGATATTTTAAGGTACTTTAAATATAGAAAAATATTTTCATTTAAGTTTTTTCATACCAGTATATATTTTGAGTGATTATCTAAAAAGATATTTTATAAGTTACCTTAATAATAGAGCAAAAGTCATAGTTTGTTTAACATAGTTGATTTATGAAAAAACATTTCCTTTAAAGAAGTGAAATCTCAGCTAAGTAGATTTTCCATAAAGTGACTTCAGATACATAGTTTACTTCATGTTGTGACATCACAGTCAATGTTATTACACACAGAGTCAATTATTGAAATGTTTTCATGTTTTGCTATTTAATTTGATTAAATTAAAGCCAAGTGACTAGTTTTGACATTATTTTTATTTCTTGATTTCCTCCTTTCCTTTCGTACATCATGACTATCATATTAACTGTTCTTGCTTCCATCAGAAATGAAGAAAATATAAATGCTATGGTATATTTTTATTAACTAAAATTGTTTAATGAGCCATTTTGTAGGTGCCTGTAAAATCCAATTGTGATGAATTTATAAAGGATACATCAAAAAAGGACTCAACACATTATTTACAATAGCCAAGGTATGGAAGCAACCTAAGTGTCCATCAACAGGTATATGGAGGGCTTCCCTGGTGGCGCAGTGGTTAAGAATCCACCGGCCGGGCTTCCCTGGTGGCGCAGTGCTTGAGAGTCCGCCTGCCGATGCAGGAGACGCGGGTTCGTGCCCCGTTTCGGGAGGATCCCACATGCCGCGGAGCGGCTGGGCCCGTGAGCCATGGCCACTGAGCCTGCGCGTCCGGAGCCTGTGCTCCGCAAATGGGAGAGGCCACAACAGTGAGAGGCCCACATAACGCAAGGAAAAAAAAAAAAAAAAAAAAAGAATCCACCGGCCAATGCAGGAGACACGGGTTCAAGCCCTGGTCCAGGAAGATCCCACATGCCATGGAGCAACTAAGCTCGTGCACCACAACTACTGAGCCTGCACCCTAGAGCCTGTGGGCCACAACTACTGAGCATATGTGCCACAACTACTGAAGCCCACACACCTAGAGCCCATCTCCCAACAAGGGAAGCCACCGCAATGAGAAGCCCGTGTACCACAACCAAAAGTAGCCCCCGCTCACTGCAAGCAGAGAAAAGCCAACGCGAAGCAACAAAGACCCAATGCAGCCAAAAACAAAATAAATAAAATAAAATAAATAAATTTATAAAAACAGATATGTGGATAAAGAAGATGTGGTATATATATATATATCACACATACACACACAGTGGAAAACTACTCAGTCATTAATAAGAATGAAAAAATTTTTAATTGAAGTATAGTTGATTTACAATGTTTCAGATGTACAGCAAAAGAATATATATATATATATATATATATATATATAATTTTTCAGATTCTTTTCCATTATAGGTTATTGCAAGATATTAAATATAGTTCCCCATGCTACGGTAGGTCCTTGTTATCTATTTTGTATACAGTAGTATCTGTTAATCCCTAGTTTACCCCTCCCCACTTTTCCTTGGTAACCTTAAGTTTGTTTCCCATGTCTGAAAAAAGAATGACATTTTGCCATTTGCAGCAACATGGATGGACTTGGAGGGCATAATGCTAAGTGAAATAAGTCAGACAGAGAAAGACAAATACTGTATGGTATCACTTATATGTAGAATCTAAAACTACAACACAAAGTGAATAAAACAAAAAGAAACAGACTCACAGATATAGAGAACAAACTAGTGGCTACCAGTGGGGAGAGGGAAGGAGGCAGAGGCAATATATGGGCAGGGGAAAAAAGAAAATGGGTTATTATAGGATTATATGAAATTATCTGGGTGAAACTTTTGAAAATTATAAGCCACTGTACAATTTTAACAATCTTTCGTTCAATAAAAGAAATTTTAAAAAAGGGCTCAAAATTAATGTACTTAAAATAAATAGAGAAGAATACCTTTAAGCTCAGCAGATATTCACAAACAGCGTAACAAATGCCAATACCTTCTTCTGTATTAGTACCTCTGCCAAGTTCATCAATTAATATGAGTGACTTGTCATTAGCATTATGTAGAATATATGCTATCTGAAAATATAATCTCAGTATTATTCATTGTGACCAAACAGCTGTCACTATTATAGGAAAATATGAGGAAAAATCCAGTCTCATAATTAGTTCATTTGAAATATATTTTTACAGAGAAATCCTGCTGAGCAGAAACTAACGCATTGTTTTTCTTTCTAAAAATCTCATTACTAGTAACTCCAATAGAATAAATGTATTAACAGAATACATTTTTGGAGTGTACATAAATAGTCATATGCATATGTGTATGAGACAACAGGGTAAATAAACATTATCTAAAATATTGATATTTCAGATACAGTGAAATAAACCAATGAATTAATGTTTAAATAAAGCACAAAGATGGTCATTTTCTTCTCTACAAACGATTAATCAATTGTCATAAAACGCTCAGAACTATTTCTCAAATTTATTTTACCATCTCTATAGCCAGTAAAAATGAAAAGAAAAATTTAGGGAAAAGGATCCAAGTCTATTGATTCCCAATTAAAGAAACTTAAACCCATGCCCGATAAAGACGTATGTCATGACACAGTAGTAACCTTCATGGCCATTTTACCTTTCCATAGGACTAAGCTTCTTGAGAGCTAGGACCACTTAAAAATATACCTCAAACACCTAGTATATTGCTATATTCTCCCATATATAGTCAACACATACTAAATAATTATATAAATATCATATACTGTGGGCAAATAACTTTATTCTCCCGCTATATAAGGAAAATAAGTTATGTGCATAGTGATCCAATAACTCCTACCTACTAAAGATAGCCCAAGAGCTATACTGAATTCCTTTAGCCCTTCAAGCTCACTTGACATTTGCTCAGATCAAAAATAGGTGATGATACGTACTTTGTTAGAGGAAGTGAAAATTCTACAACAGCACAGAAGAGGATGATTTTTAAAAGCCTTTTAACACAGTGATCTTTTATTTTAAAATCAAGCCTAACAGGAACAATAGATACTATAGGTACTATGCAAAATGTTCCTGAATAGGTCATTGTTTTCTGAAGTCTTTTATATATTTCACACAAAAACATGAATGTGCATTTTTATTACTCAATAATACTAGCTTTTTCTTTAAAGCTGTATTTTTCATTAAAACATTTGGTTCCATTTCCACATAAGACAGAAATTAGGAAGCTGTCTTTGACTGCCCTCTGGCTCTTGTAGAGGAGTATAAACACATCTGCATACTTTAGTATAAGAATACTTTATTATGTTATAACTGACCATTAACAGGAGACTTCAATATGCTTTTAACAGAATAAAAGTTGAGCTTGGGTACCTCTTTCATTTCCTTCATAAATGTTGATGAATTTGTTTCAATATCATCATCAGTACTTATTCTTGTAAAAATCTGTTCAGCAATTCTAAAGGAAGCATATTCTGCTGGAACATATGATCCTATAAAATATAAGGTCAAAGTAAACTGAGATGCTTTTATAAAACATAAGTACTACTAACATTTTGCACTTTCCACCAACTCAGATTATTTACTAGCCTGTCTAAGAATTAATGTGGTGGAAAGATCACTGGGTATGGAACTAGAAGATGTGGCCCCAGCTCTGTCATTTACTGTACAACCTTGGACAGCACTTAATTCTCCCAGCTTCATCTTCCTCACATAAAAAATGGAAATACTTACCCTACCTATTGTACAGTTATTTGGAAGTTGAAAATAGATAATATATATTCAAGTATATTAAAAGATTTGTTATAAACTTGATAAAAATTTTATATATTTAGATGATAAAGAATACTCAAAATATGTAAATCTGAAGGAAATCGTTATGAAGCTCAAGTTGATAAAATCATTATAGAAAGATATATTAGGAAATATCTGTTATTAGCAGAGTACAGAAATACCCACAATTAGAATGAATGCAAAACACTTAATTTTGTTTTTTAAGGTTAACAGCTGATCTTTATTTCTTATTTATTTATTTTTTACATCATTATTGGAGCATAATTGCTTTACAGCAGTGTGTTAGTTTCTGCTTTATAACAAAGTGAATCACTTATACATATACATATGTTCCCATATCTCTTCCCTCTTGCGTCTCCCTCCCTCCCACCCTCCCTATCCCACCCCTCTAGGTGGTCACAAAGCACCAAGCTGATCTCCCTGTGCAATGAGGCTGCTTCCCACTAGCTATTTTACGTTTGGTAGTGTATATATCTCCATGCCACTCTCTCACTCTGTCACAGCTTACCCTTTCCCCTCCCCATATCCTCAAGTCCATTCTCTAGTAGGTCTGTGTCTTTATTCCTGTCTTCCTAGGTTCCTCATGACATTTTTTTTTCTTAGATTCCATATATATGTCTTAGCATATGGTATTTGTCTTTCTCTTTCTGACTTACTTCACTCTGTATGACAGACTCTAGGTCCATCCACCTCACTAGAAATAACTCAATATCGTTTCTTTTTTTTTTTTTTTTTTGCGGTACACAGGCTTTCACTGTTGTGGCCTCTCCCGTTGCTCAGCACAGTCTCCGGATGCGCAGGCTCAGCGGCCATGGCTCACAGGCCCAGCCGCTCTGCGGCATGTGGGATCTTCCTGGACCGGGGCACGAACCCGCGCCCCTTACATTGGCAGGCGGACTCTCAACCACTGTGCCACCAGGGAAGCCCCAATTTCCTTTCTTTTTATGGCCGAGTAATATTCCATTGTATATATGTGCCACATCTTCCTTATCCATTCATCCGATGATGGACACTTAGGTTGTTTCCATCTCCTGGCTATTGTAAATAGGGCTGCAATGAACATTTTGGTACATGACTCTTTTTGAATTATGGTTTTCTCAAGGTATATGCCCAGTAGTGGGATTGCTGGGTCATATGGTAGTTCTATTTGTAGTTTTTTAAGGAACCTCCATACTGTTCTCCATAGTGGCTGTATCAACCTACATTCCCACCAGCAGTGCAAGAGTGTTCCCTTTTCTCCACACCCTCTCCAGCATTTACTGTTTCTAGATTTTTTGATGATGGCCATTCTGACTGGTGTGAGATGATATCTCATTGTAGTTTTGAATTGCATTTCTCTAATGATTAATGATGTTGAACATTCTTTCATGTGCTTGTTGGCACTCTGTATATCTTCTTTGGAGAAATGTCTATTTAGGTCTTCTGCCCATTTTTGGATTGGGTTGTTTGTTTTTTTGTTATTGAGCTGCATGAGCTGCTTGTAAATTTTGGAGATTAATCCTTTGTCTATTGATTCATTTGCAAATATTTTCTCCAATTCTCAGGGTTGTCTTTTGGTCTTGTTTACGGTTTCCTTTGCTGTGCAAAAGCTTTGAAGTTTCATTAGGTCCCATTTGTTTATTTTTATTTTTATTTCCATCTCTCTAGATGGTGGGTCAAAAAGGATCTTGCTGTGATTTATGTCAGAGTGTTCTGCCTATGTTTTCCTCTAAGAGTTTGATAGTTTCTGGCCTTACATTTAGGTCTTTAATCCATTTTGAGCTTATTTTTGTGTATCGTGTTAGGGAGTGTTCTAAACTCATACTTTTACATGTACCTGTCCAGTTTTCCTAGCACCACTTATTGAAGAGGCTGTCCTTTCTCCACTGTACATTCCTGCCTCCTTTATCAAAGATAAGGTGACCATATGTGCATGAGTTTATCTCTGGGCTTTCTATCCTATTCCATTGATCTATATTTCTGTTTTTATGCCAGTACCATACTGTCTTGATTACTGTAGCTTTGCAGAATAGGCTGAAGTCAGGGAGCCTGATTCCTCCAGCTCCGTTTTTCGTTCTCAAGATTACTTTGGCTATTCAGGGTCTTTTGTGTTTCCATATAAATTCTGAAATTTTTTGTTCTAGTTCTGTGAAAAATGCCAGTGGTAGTTTGATAGGGATTGCATTGAATCCATAGATTGCTTTGGGAAGTAGAGTCATTTTCACAGTATTGATTCTTCCTATCCAAGAACATGGTATATCTCTCCATCTATTTGTATCATCTTTAATTTCTCTCATCAGTGCCTTACAATTTTCTGCATACATGTCTTTTGTCTCCTTAGGGAGGTTTATTCCTAGATATTTTATTCTTTTTGCTGCAATGGTAAATGGGAGTGTTTTGTTGATTTCACTTTCAGATTTTTCATCAGTGTATAGGAATGCCAGAGATTTCTCTGCATTAATTTTGTATCCTGCTACTTTACCAAATTCATTGATTAGCTCTAGTCGTTTTCTGGTGGCATCTTTAGGATGCTCTATGTATAGTATCATGTCATCTGCAAACAGTGACAGCTTTACTTCTTCTTTCATGATTTGGATTCCTTTCTTCCTTTTCTTCTCTGATTGCTGTGGCTAAAACTTCCAAAACTATGTTGAATAAGAGTGGCGAGAGTGAGCAACCTTGTCTTGTTCCTGATCTTACTGGAAATGCTTTCAGTTTTTCACCTTTGAGGACAATGTTGGCTGTGGGTTTGTCATATATGGCCTTTATTATGTTGAGGAAAGTTCCCTCTATGTCTACGTTCTGGAGAGTTTTTTTTATCATAAATGGGTGTTGAATTTTGTTGAAAGCTTTCTCTGCATCTACTGAGATGATCATATGGTTTTTCTCCTTTAATTTGTTAATATGGTGTATCACATTGATTGATTTGCATACATTGAAGAATCCTTACATTCCTGGGGTAAACCCCACTTGTTCATGGTGTATGATCCTTTTAATGTGCTGTTGGATCCTGTTTGCTAGTATTTTGTTGAGGATTTTTGCATGTATGTTTCTCAGTGATATTGGTCTGTAGTTTTCTTTCTTTATGACATCCTTGTCTGGTTTTGGTATCACGGTGATGGTGGCCTTGTAGAATGAGTTTGGCAGTGTTCCTCCCTCTGCTATATTTTGGAAGAGTTTGAGAAGGATAGGTGTTAGCTCTTGTCTAAATGTTTGATAGAATTCGCCTGTGAAGCCATCTTGTCCTGGACTTTTGTTTGTGGGAAGATTTTTAATCACAGTTTCAATTTCAGTGTTTGTGATTGGTCTGTTCATATTTTCTATTTCTTCCTAATTCAGTCTTGGCAGGTTGTGCATTTCTAAGAATTTGTCCATTTCTCCCAGGTTGTCCATTTTATTGGCATAGAGTTGCTTGTAGTAATCTCTCATGATCTTTTGCATTTCTGCAGTGTCAGTTGTTACTTCTCCTTTTTCATTTCTAATTCTATTGATTTGAGTCTTCTACCTTTTTTTCTTGATGAGTCTGGCTAATGGTTTACCAATTTTGTTTATCTTCTCAAAGAAACAGCTTTTAGTTTTATTGATATTTGCTACCGTTCCCTTCATTTCTTTTTCATTTATTTCTGATCTGATCTTTATGATTTCTTTCCTTCTGCTAACTTTGGGTTTTTTTTGCTCTTCTTTCTCTAATTGCTTTAGGTGCAAGGCTAGGTTGTTTATTTGAGATGTTTCCTGTTTCTTAAGGTAGGAGTGTATTGCTATAAACTTACCTCTTAGAACTGCTTTTGCTGCATCCCATAGGTTTTGGGTCATCATGTCTCCATTGTCATTTGTTTCTAGGTATTTTTTGATTTCCTCTTTGATTTCTTCAGTGATCACTTCGTTATTAAGTAGTGTATTGTTTAGCCTCCATGTGTTTGTATTTTTTACAGATCTTTTACTGTAATTGATATCTAGTCTCATAGCACTGTGGTCGGAAAAGATACTTGATAAAATTTCAATTTTCTTAAATTTACCAAGGCTTAATTTGTGACCCAAGATATGATCTATCCTGGAGAATGTTCTATGAGCACTTGATAAAAATGTGTATTCTGTTGTTTTTGGATGGAATGTCCTATAAATATCAATTAAGCCCATCTTGTTTAATGTGTCATTTAAAGCTTGTGTTTTCTTATTTATTTTCATTTTGGATGATCTGTCCATTGGTGAAAGTGGGGTGTTAAAGTCCCCTACTATGAATGTGTTACTGTCGATTTCCCCTTTTATGGCTGTTAGTATTTGCCTTATGTTTTGAGGTACTCCTATGTTGGGTGCATAAATATTTACCATTGTTATATCTTCTTCTTGGATTGGTCCCTTGATCATTATGTAGTGTCCTTCTTTGTCTCTTCTAATAGTCTTTATTTTACAGTGTATTTTGTCTGATACGAGAATTGCTACTCCAGCTTTCTTTTGGTTTCCATTTGCATGGAATATCTTTTTCCACCCCCTCACTTTCAGTCTGTATGTGTCTCTAGGTCTGAAGTGGGTCTCTTGTAGACAGCATATATATGGGTCTTGTTTTTGTATCCATTCAGCCAGTCTGTGTCTTTTGGTGGGAGCATTTAGTCCATTTACATTTAAGGTAATTATTGATATGTATGTTCCTATTCCCATTTTCTTAATTGTTTTGGTTTTGTTATTGTAGGTCTTTTCCTTCTCTTGTGTTTCTTGACTAGAG